AACAGAATGAAACTTTTCCGGTCAGTGGAGTAATGGGCTTCGCTAATCGCTCAGCCAAAAAATATATGGTCAAATCAAGCTCATGGATAAGTTTAGCTCTAAAAAGTAAATTTACCAAATTTTTCTGATACAGCTGCTCTACGTCCCTGTGGTCCAAAGCCTTTGGTGTGCCCTTTGCTGTTGTTTCCTGTATAAGGCAAATATAGATCGAAAATGAAAAGAACAGCTGTAACATTAACGTCGCTTTCACTGTTCCATTCTGCTAATACTGAAGACTCACAGAAGAAATAGATGTAGCAGCAGGGGGAGGAGGAGGAGGACGAAGGGTCCCTGACGACTGAGCCAACACTTTTTCCCTGGCTGATATATTACACTAGAAGACAAAAATATCAGCAGCAGTTCAGACAAGATAGTAAAAATAATTTTAGAAATATTCCCGACAAACATGAACACGTTGCGGCTATGCAGCCGCAGCATGAATACGTTATGGTGGTCCCCAGATCACCGGGCAACGTAGAAGCCACTATAGCGTATGCGAACGTCGCACGATTTTCGGTGAATTAAGGTGGTAGACACTTAGTCTAAGAAACTACGATTAGGCAAAGTTACCGCAGTAGTTCTCGCAACATTCCTTATTCGACGATGCAGTGCGTACATTGCCTCAAAGCGTCTCCTACCAATGAAATATGACCGCATGTAAGTAAAGATGCTACAATGTCGACAACACTAACACTTATTGACGTCTATACGGTTATGTCGTGGTTACATCGCCACATCTTACACAATATAACGCCTTTCCAGCACCATCACGGCCTCGTAGCAGAAACGATGCCCGTGCAACGATGCGTGGTGGTGCTAGCCACTACGTCGCTGCCAGGCTGGTGCAGAGCGGTGAAACGCACCACCTTGCCGCAGAAGCGCCGCGTTCACATCAACACGGCCACCGCCATGCAACATAACATCTAGTACCGCGTAACATAACGGTATACGCCAACATTAGCGCTACGTGTCGGCCACAATGCCACAATTACGTGGCTGC